GAAGTGAGTGAACAGTGTGGCAGTGAGTGAACAGTATGAAAACACAAATAGACCATCATGATTTGAAGACAATGGTGTATCAGGGTGTGGCTAGGGAATCTGACCGAGACTCAACTTTTGGAAGAAAGGCAAGATGGACACTGAACCAGACTGTTATTGATACAATACAAACTGGAATCTGTGCTGTTTTCTGAAGATGGGTACAGAGTGCCTATGGGAATGTCCCAGATGCTGTGATATTGATTCTCAACTCAACTAAACTGACGTCTATATGACATAAGAGTACTGCATTTTAAAGAGCACAAACTGCATGAACACTGCAAGAACTTGACAAGAAAAAAATTATAGACAACATTCTTCTATATCCTTCTATACTCTTCTACTGGTAACTGTTTCACTTATTTAATTTCACAAAAAGGATTTTTCTGATTAAAAATGTGAATGTTACCTCATTTTACACTGACGCAAAATCAAATTCCTGGTAATGGGCTTCTTTTTTGGGGTGATTTCAATGTGGGATGAGAATACAGGAAAGTACTGGGGAAAATAGACAAATAAATGCTCTAGCAGAGGCTATGTTGGATGCAGAGGTCGTCTGTATAAATGACGGTGGGCCAACTATCAGGGCTATTAGAACATGTAAGAGTTTTAAGTATAAGAGGGCTAACACCAATTTTGGACACCTTTCACAGAAGGTATGCAACAAACGACCAGCTCTGTTTTTGTGTGCAGCCTCCATGGTGGAACCCCAAAGTTGACAAGGCAGGGAAGGCTGCAGCAGCAGTTAAACAGTTGCTAAAGGGCAGAAAGCTCAAAAGTGGAGAGACAGAAGGCAGAACAAGTTAAAAAAGAGACAGTAGAAGAGTTTAAGCACGGTGTAGCAGATGCAGAAAATCTAAATGGGTAATTCTGTTAATGAAACTGGAGGTTAAAAGTCATTTGGAATGTTCTGGAAACTACATGGACAAATGCACAGAAAAGGTCAGCCTATAACAACAAGCACCATGTACAGAGATAACGGTATGCCCATGATAACCAACAAAGTGCGAGGGAAAGCATTTTTGCTGCAGAGATTTATATCACAAACTGACCCTATCAAAAGGGAACTTAGAAATCAATTAGAGATATTATACTTCTTTTTCTTTTTCAGCATTCTGAACCCTTGAGGTTCAATGCTGCAGATTATCACCCGCCTCTACTCATCTCTCTGGTTGGCCTTCTCTTTCCATTTGGTGACATCAAGTGTTTGCAGGTCTGTCTGGACATTATCTTTCCATGATCTTCTTGGTCTGCCTCATGGTCTACCACCAATCAGCTTCTTTTTTACCTTTCTTTCATCTGACATTCTCTCAATATCCCCTAACCTAACCATTTAGGTATATTAGATTTCATGATGCCGGTGATCAATGGTGATTTAAACAGATTATGTATTTCATTGTTGCTTCTCACTTTCCATTCCCCACTGTTTGCATCTTTGATGGGTCCAAAGATTCGTCGTAAGACTGTTTTTGAAAATTTGTAATGAGGTTTGTTTCTTTTAGTTGTGCTCAGAGTTTTAGAGCCATATAAAATGACTGGGTTTATCAATGTTTTAAATATTTTGATCTTAGTGTTGCGAGATAGAGACTTTGACTTTAGCAGAGGCTGAAGGGCATAGATTGTTTTCTAGATTAAATTTATTCTCTAAGCATGTTGGAGCAGTTGAAGTTTGCACCCAAGTACTTATATGTTTCCGTTGGCTTTATTTTCTATTATCGACTTGTATGTGGCCGGAGTTAATATCCTTTCCCTGTCTTGTTATAAGATGTTATACTGAATACTATCAGGATTTCACTCAGGTGAAGGTTATAGAACTAGACAGAGAAATTAGCTTGAGATGTGCCAAAGCTAATCAAGTAATGGGGCAACTATCTTCCCTGTTGACACACAAGCAGATACCCTGGAGTAATAAATAACTATTTTTTATCCAACACTATGCTGCCAATGCCAAACGTAAACACTTACATCTGCCAATGAACATAAAATTGTGACAACAGAGAAATGCCTTAGAAGAGTCGTGGGAGTTTTAAGGAAAGACAGAATACGAAATCATGAAATCAGACAAATGCTAAGAATAAAGCCAGTCTTACAGGTCATCAAAGAACAACAAATGAAGTGGTTTGGACACCTAACAAAAATGCCCTGGTACTATCTGCCACAGCGAGCCACACTAAAACGTTACAACGGGTATAGAGCGAGTGGAAGACCTCGGAAAATATGCAGTGATGGCATTAAGAACAGCCTTACAGAAATGAACATAGTGCTCTTGACAAAGCTCCTCAACGAACGTTACATCTCCCCCCGACACTTTGATGAGGTACAAGGTGGAAGAGAAGAAGAAGAAGAAGGTTATAGAATGTATGTTGCAAAAATGAAAACACATCATGCCGGAGCCAGGTGGGGTCAAATTATGTTGAAGAATATGAGGGATAAAGACTTCAAAGGAATGGCTTTTCAGTTCAACTAGAGCATCAGAACAGCATCAGTAAACAAGGACTGGGTGCACAGCTATTTAATCCCTTTTCAAAACCAGGCAACAAAGGCTCAAAAAGGTCTTAAAGCTCAAAAGATTATGGCAGCGATGGACAAGAAGCATGCTGTTCACATTTTACCAGCACTTAATCATCTCAGTGATTGATTATGGATTGGGGTTACTCACTGTCCCGAAGAGTCCGCTAGAGAAACTGGAGTGCATACAGAATGAAGCTATGCAGGTGATCCTGAGATGTGCAAGAAACACCCCGATTGTGTGCATCCTTGCATTGCCGACTATTGCAGATAGGCAAAAGGTGCTGCAGGCTGTCATACTTCAGAGTAGCTGCTGACAAAGAACACCCTCTGTATGAAGCTTTGGCTGTATCGGGTGCGGATATGCACTAGAACGCACCAGTACTGAGTGAGCAAATAGGACGTGAAAACAATTCATAATGTTGTTAAGGAATTGTTGTCTAAGCATTCGGTGTATAAAGTCTGAAGGAGACAGACGTGGTGTCGTGTCTCAGTGGATCCTTAAGGACGCTCTACCCCGGGATGCCACGGAAAGATTCGGTGTATAAAGTCTGAAAGAGTCAGACGTGTGGTTATATCTCAGTGGATCCTTGAGGACGCTCTACTAGAAACCTCAGTTGAAAGCTGGTACATTATTTGTTGCACTCGACAAGAAGCCGGTATCTTTAAGGAAGGATTCTCCAGGCTGAATCATTAAAGAGGGACATTGCCCTGTTCAGACTGCAGAAGAGGAGACCGATGTGACCGTCCGGACTTTCAAGGTCGGGCTGTTGACCTGTCGTTTGAAAATGTCATTTGAATTTATCCACAGAATGTGCATGCCGTAACTTGTGTGGGCGTGTTTGGGTGAGTCTTCACCAAGAGTCCTAATATTTGCACATTTTCTCATTTGTTGATCAAGTGTGTGGCAATACACCAATGATACACATCTCATAGCATTCAACTCCGTTTGGAAGCATTGAAGTTCATACTGTTCTGCCACACTTGGCTGGTGGCATTGTATTCTAAGTTAAGATGTATTCGTTTGTACCTGATTACACATCTCAATGGGAACCTACGCCTCTCAGTACCCGATCGCACATCACAGGGTGCAGGTAAGGGTCAGAGGCTGAAGAGGGGGAAATCGTGGATTGCTCAAGCAGAAGACACAATAAGACAAGTATGCATGCTTTAGAACATTGCGGGAAGAGAGGAGTGGGTCGTAGTACCAGCGGAAAGGTCTGACCTGTGTATGGTGATTATCACATTTGGCAGGGAGTGCAGAGAGTGGCCAGCAGGTGCTATGGACTTGGAAGTCCAACAGTTTATTCAAGACAATTCAAGCCCAGGTGATCTGATTTATCTATACAGATGGTTCGGTGGTGAGAGGAAAGAGAAGTGCCTGGGGGTTCGTAGCAAAAGCCAATGGGAAATATTTAGTGCAAGACAACCTAGCATATGACATCACATTTAGAATAAGAATGGAGGTGGAGGTGGTAACTGCAGCTCCAAAGGTCCAAAGTAGTTAGCATCCTTTGGATATTTTCTCCAGAAATGACAGTGTGTAGGGAAAAGAACATGCAGACAGACTGACTGGTTCTGCACCATAAAGTAGTAAAGTGATGCATGGCAAGCTAGATGTTGTCGAGGCCTGTTGGTAGAAACTGAAGAGTGCAGAGGCTCAATTAGATTATCATGGTTTGAAGAGAATGGTGCAGTGCAGAGTGACTAGAGAGTCTGGTCGATAATCCACACACAGAAGAAAAGCAAAGCAGACATACAATCAGACTGCTTCATGCACCACCAGAGTTGGAACTCTTCATAGGCTGCTGAAGATGGAGTAGAGCACTTATAGGAATGTTTCAAGTGGTCATGTTGCTGGTTCATGACTCTCAACTTCAGATGAATCAACACAATCAGTAATACTGTGTTTTTTTTAAATTTTGAACTAAAAGAAGAATGTAGACTTTTTTCTTCTAAATGTACGTCACCTCTAATCTATTTCACTGTCACTGAATAGGCGAATATTGTTTTGTCACAACTTACTGTACAAGTGTGAAAGACAAAAGAGTGATAGAACAGAATATATCTTGCTAGTTTTATAAGGACATAATAGCATCAATAAACTTCATGGTTAGAGAATTTTCCTAAACAAACACAAATACAACATTAAACAAAACTGAAGTACACTGTTGTCTACTGAGATGAGCTAATACATGAAAAAGACTGGCTCACACCCTTACTGTACATTTTAGGGTAGTATAGGGCAGGGGTTGTGGTCTTGAGCTTCTAACTGCACAACTAGTGCTGCAGCCATTACTTTGCTGGCTATGTACTTTTTTTCTTTTGCCCCTGACAGAAACATTTCTTTCAATTAACCAAGGATTTCAAACCAGGTCTCCCAAAATGACAGTTAAACACTAAGATATTGAGAACATAAATATAGATACTTTAATTAAAACATCTCAGTATACCTTAACAGTTCCATCTGTGCTGCCAGTGAAAAGTCGGGTTTCAGATGGATCTTGAGTAAGACAGGTCACTTCTGAACTGCCATGGGCCTTACTGAACTGTTTGACCTTCTGGCCAGTGTCAATCAGCCACATTATGATAGTGCCAACTTGGCAAACACTGACTACCTGGATATAGAGGTCAACATTTTATGGCAAACACTTTAACAATGGTAACACGGTTATGATTTCAGCTTGATATAAATGAACTGGCAGTATCAATCAAAACAGGAAATAAACTGGATCCTTCATGATATCTAGATCCTTATGTACAGTGTATTCGTCACTCCACACTGAGCTGGCCTGATGAGCAGCAACTGAATGTTTCATTCTGCTGCTGACCTGGCCTGATGAGCAGCAACTAAATGTTTCAATCTGCTGCTGACCTGGCCTGATGAGCAGCAACTAAATGTTTCAATCTGTTGCTGACCTGGCCTGATGAGCAGCAACTAAATGTTTCAATCTGCTGCTGACCTGGCCTGATGAGCAGCAACTAAATGTTTCAATCTGCTGCTGACCTGGCCTGATGAGCAGCAACTAAATGTTTCAATCTGCTGCTGACCTGGCCTGATGAGCAACAACTAAATGTTTCAATCTGCTGCTGACCTGGCCTGATGAGCAGTGACTGAATGTTTCATTCTGCTGCTGACCTGGCCTGATGAGCAGTGACTGAATGTTTCATTCTGCTGCTGACCTGGCCTGATGAACAGTGTCTGAATGTTTCATTCTGCTGCTGACCTGGCCTGATGAGCAGTGACTGAATGTTTCAATCTGCTGAGTAATGTTTGCACTAGAGATTCAGTGAGGACAACACTCACGGAGTGCAGCCATCAACTATTAACTGTTTCTGTCCCTGACAGGATAATTGCTATTTTAACTCATTCCATCTCAAACAATTTTTATTTTAGATAGTCAATTATTAGATATAAAAATGTTACAATAAGAGCAGAAGGAACTAAAGTAACACCAGGAGCAGAATGGGTTAATTCACAGGAGCGATAGTATTCACTTAGGTGTATTATATATGGAGTCACAAAAGAACTATAATAAATTACTGAACATAAAAATGAAGCAAAAAAAAAAAAAAAAAAGAAAGTTTCAAGTACATCAAAGTATAGAAACAAATAGATAAATTTGCAAAGACTGTGGAAAGCTTGTGGCTTAATGCTTCCTATAAGATTTAAATGTGTACATTGAAATAAAATTTATTTTTAATTTTTGTCCCCTCCTGGATTTTAGTCTTCCATTTCAATAGTTCTGACCATAGCGGCAAAGATTATATCTCTGACATCACCATAAAATCTGTTTCTAGTGATGAAGCTACTTGTTTCTCTTTGGAAATTCGCCTTATACTTAGTTTAGGCATTCTAAGCCCAGCGAAATAAGTGTTCTGCAAACCTTTATCTAAATAATATTATTATCCTTACTTTACTTTATTTCATCTGTTATTATATGTTTATTTTAAGCTTTATCACAATTATTATTTTTATTTCTATGAGCATAATTACTTCTATTATACTTACCATCACTGTTAGTATTGTATTATCATTATGACTAGTTTTGTTCCTTTATTTATTTATTTGTTTCATTCAGCATTAATTTTTCCTCTTTCTATATTTCATAGGTATTCACGTGAACACCCCTTGGAGGGACCAGGGGCCAGAATTCTTTTCCCTTTATGGTTTGATGTTTGAGGTTTGTGTGTTGATATAGGCTTCTGCCGAACATATGATGTTTCTTGTATATGTATTATTCCCCTTCCCACTACATTAGGCTTCTAAGTCACAGTTCAGTGGACTGATGTCTCAATACAGGAAACTGAACTTTTATCTGTAAATATCTTCTCCATATCACTGCTGACACAAAGGCATTCACAAACGATCTAGCTTGCTATGGTCTGCTGCTTGTCTGCCTATGGTACCCCATTCTACATTTCTTCATTTCCCTTTCTACTTTCCTTCGCCAGGTTTCCTGAGGCTGTCAATGTGAGAGCTAACCTTGCCAAAGTGTCATGAGGTATACTGCAAACATGTCCAAGCCATCTTCTTCCTTTCATAATATTTGCCAGGGACGAACACTGTCTTCCTCCTCAAATCTTCAGTTGTGATCTTGTTTGGCCGCAATATTCAAAGGATTGTATTGATACATTTATTTGGAAAAGTCTGTAGCTGATTTGTAATTATGCTGTTATTCTCTAACACTCATAATAATATTATGAACATGATTTGGCAAAATAAAAATGAAGATCTCATATCAAAATGATACCAAAAGTATAATCTTGTACACATCTGATCCTGATCAGGAGAGGACACAAAATAAGGAAGCACATGCACAAAAAAGACTTCTGATTCACATACTATTTCCTTCAATTACTACCACATGCACACTTGATATATCAGACATTGCTATCTCATATTGACCCAGTTAGTTATCTTTTTGAATGAAAGATTTCAAATCAGGTAAGTATTCCAAGCAGATTCTGTAATCTAGTTTATATAACCATTTCCAAAATTTATAACATGACATACATTTTTTTAAACTAGCCAGAAGCTGCTTGATAAATTCCAAGACCATCTTAGGGACATATGGAAGGAAGCTGGGACTAACTGTTTGTTACCAGTATTTCCATTGGGACAGTGAGGGACATTTTATTTAATTTTCCCTGGCCCAGTAACAGAGCAAGTATGGGTTGACCGGATTGCAGTGAAGTTGGACCTCGATTAAAAACTACGAGTTAATATTTTTGTAAATATAATGACATGATTCGCTGAGATAAACAAGGCAACAACAAAATAAACACAGTAAATATACCTGATTGTATAAAGAATTATAAATGGCTGTCACAACAGGTCTTTCATGGCTGACAATCCTGTCTTTGACTTCAGTCTTCATGTCCATGACTGTGATCTGGTGGTTAAATGTCAGAAACAACTTGTTTCTTGCATGTCCATCTCTGTCCTTGCCATCATCAAAGAAAAGATAACTCACAGCTGACAATGAAACAAAATAAATTCTCTCATTCCTCTCAATTAGTTTTTTAAGACAATGCAATTCAAAAGTGGCTTTTAATTTAACAAAAGAACCATGCAACATAACTAAATAAACACAACAACAGCTGCATGAGGAAACAAAAACAGAGCTTCTTGAGAGACTAAGAATCAATTGAGATTTACTGAAATAAATTTTTTTTTTTTAAAGATACCTCTGAAATATTTGAGCTGTATTAAAAGACATAACATACTTATAAAAACCATACTGGAGGGGAAAGTCAAATGCAAGAGATCAAGAGGTAGATAATGTTACAAGTGAAAGGACAACATTAAGATACGCATGAACAGCATTATGAGGGAGAGAGAGAGAGAGAGAGAGAGAGAGAGAGAGAGAGAGAGAGAGAGAGAGAGAGAGAGAGAGAGAGAGAGAGAGAGAGAGAGAGAGAGAGAGAGAGAGAGAGAGAGAGAGAGAGAGAGAGAGAGAGAGAGAGAGAGAGAGAGAGAGAGAGAGAGAGAGAGAGAGAGAAAGAGAATGAACGAACAAACTTTATTTTCAAAGGGTCACAAATTGGGCACGCAGGCCCGTCTTACATTCGGCCCTTCCAGTCAACCATGTTTCGCACAGCAGTTGTATTTTACTAATAAAGCATGTTATGATCATATGATGATATGCATATTATAAATATTATAAAAGAACACAAAAGCATGAGTTGTAAAATGCATGCAAAAAAAACCTGCGCGTGCATACACGCACCCACATACAAACATACACCCACTCAAATACACACACATACATACATGCATGATTACATTACATACATACAGGCATACATACATACACACATACATACAAACATACATACAGGCATACACACATACATACAGGCATACATACATACACACAAACATACATACACACACACATACATAATACAGGCATACACACATACAAACATACATATATACATACAGTCATAAATACAGGCATACATACAGTCAGGCGTGGAGACACACATATGCACACACGGACACTCCCACAGAGACACACACACTCTCACTTAGACAAAAATACAGACATACACAGACACTTACATATAAACACACACAGGGAAACACACAGCAGACATATATATATTCGTGCTCACACACTGACACACACACACACACATGCAGTCAAACACACACACAAAAATACAGACAAACAGGCAGACAAACACATACTGACACCCACACAGACAAACACGCAGAAATACACATGCAGACACATATATACAGCACGCACAGACATATATTCTGACATGCAGACCCATACACACAAATAGGTGCACACACAATACACACAGAGAAACACACATAGACATGCACACACAGACAGACACATGCTGACACATACACTCACGCGGACAGACATACAGACCCCTACACACAGAGATACATACATACAGCCACATAGACACACCCGCAGACAAACACACATAAATATACACAGGCAAACATGCAAACAAACACATACGGGGACACACACAAATATACACACTCAGTCAAATCAAATATGCAGACAAACACCGAGACACACACACATGCAAACAAACACCGAGACACACACACATGCAGAAAAACACAGAGACACACACACAGACACATATACACAGCCACATGTATCCAATAGCACACACACACACACGCAGACACACATACACAACAAAGCGGCACACTTAAACACACAGAAACACACAGACCAAATCATACTGAAACATACACGTGGACATATGCGCGAACACACACACATTCGTACACATACACAAGGACACAGATGCATTCATTCGCAGAGAGAGAGAGAGAGAGAGAGAGAGAGAGACAGACAGACAGACAGAGAGAGAGAGACAGAGAGAGAGACAGAGAGAGAGAGAGACAGAGAGAGACAGAGAGAGAGACAGAGAGAGACAGAGAGAGAGACAGAGACAGAGAGACAGAAAGAGGGAGAGAGAGACAGAGAGACAGAGAGAGACAGAGAGACAGAGAGATACAGAGAGAGAGGGACAGAGAGAGAGACAGAGAGAGACAGAGAGAGAGAGACAGAGAGAGAGACAGATAGACAGAGACAGAGAGGGAGAGACAGAGACAGAGAGAGAGAGACAGAGAGAGAGACAGAGAGAGCTACATAGATAAGAGACAGAATGCTGGAAATCCATTGTAGCCAGCCTTCACTGTGGAGATGGCACCTGATTGACTGACAATAGCCATACACTTACACAAGGACACATATGCATTCATTCGCAGAGAGAGAGAGAGAGAGAGAGAGACAGAGAGAGACAGAGAGAGAGACAGAGAGAGAGACAGAGAGAGACAGAGAGAGAGACAGAGAGACAGAGACAGAAAGACAGAGAAAGGGAAAGAGAGACAGAGAGAGAGAGAGAGAGAGAGAGAGAGAGAGAGAGAGAGAGAGAGAGAGATAGAGAGAGAGGGACAGAGAGAGAGACAGAGACAGAGAGAGACAGAGAGAGAGAAAGAGAGAGAGACAGAGAGAGAGACAGAGAGACAGAGACAGAGAGAGAGACAGAGAGACAGAGACAGAGAGAGAGAGACAGAGAGAGAGACAGAGAGAGCTACATAGATAAGAGACAGAGTGCTGGAAATCCATTGTAGCCAGCCTTCACTGTGGAGATGGCACCTGATTGACTGACAATAGCCATACACTTACTGTGGAGATGGCACCTGATTGACTGACAATAGCCATACACTTACTGTGGAGATGGCACCTGATTGACTGACAATAGCCACACTTACTGTGGAGATGGCACCTGATTGACTGACAATAGCCACACTTACTGTGGAGATGGCACCTGATTGACTGACAATAGCCACACACTTACTGTAGTGTTATCGTGGTTTGATTAAATTACATTTTGAATTTTAAAAATATTTATTATGTGTAATGGATTAGGGAAACAGAACAGAGGTTGCTGAAGTGCATACAAACAATGTAATCAGGGCTGAAAGGCCCTTTTAGTAACAAATGTTTAGGGCAGTAAATTACAGTAAATTAAAAAGTTGCATCATGCTTACACATTAAAATTACTACAATTTATTTTTATATTTATTACAAGACTGACTTATAACTAGCAGCACATAATTACACAATATTCAACTGCAGAATCACAAATAAGCATTCTTAAACACAATATTTCCTCCTTAATAATTATAATGGAAACAACAAAGACAGATAAAAACATGGAAAACTACTAATGCAATATACATAAGCCAAACTTCTGAGCAGATACCATTTTTAAAATGCATGTCAACTGATGTAGAAGTTCTCAAAGGTAGCAGTAGGAAAATACAAAGCAATTAGATACTTGACCTCACCTTCAACATGCCCTTTAGGAAATATCCCAGCAAGACGCTGAATGCAGACTTGTAGGTGAACATCCCAAATTCTGAAAACTTTATCTTTGGAGAATGAGAGAAGCTGGTTTCTGGCAGGAACAAACTGTACTTGAATTACACTAGCCATATGTCCCTTTAAGATCTGCAACAACAAAATAAACAGAGTAAATATACCTGATTGTATAAAGAATTATAAATGGCTGTCCCAACAGCATCCGACCTGAGAGAACCAGTGCACCTATGCCCACTGACTCTACTCTCTGGTTTCCAAAACCTAGATCTTCCTGAACTTCTAACCCGGGGGCATCTAGAGTTTTGGATCTATACATTGAGAAAACTCTTTTCAAGATCAACAAATTGAAACTCCAACCTCTCCGGCACTCTAACCTCCCACCTCAAGAACTTCAGGCACTCACACGTTTGAAATGTCATGATGATATTGTTATCAAACCTGCCGACAAGGGAGGGGCGATAGTAGTCTGGAGAAAAGATTTATTTATGCAAGAAGGGGACAGGCAACTTAGTGACACATCTTCCTATAAATGCCAGACGCAGGATGTTGAGGTAAAAAAAAAAAAATTGTGAAAAGTTCCATTACAACTTTTATCCAGGAAGATCTTCTGCCTGCACAGGCCTGCTCTCTATTTGGCAACCATGCTATCTCTGTCTTTCAATCTATCCTGTTCACCTCTTCTTCCAGGTACCACATCTTCACCTTAGATGTTACTTCCCTCTACACCTCTATTCCACATTCGGATGGCCTCCAGGCTTTGCGGTTTTTTCCAGATCAGAGAGTCAGTCCCGCCATAGCCACTGACCACTTGATTCGTCTGGCTGAGTTAGTGCCCACTCAAAACTCATTCGAGTTTAATGGCCAGTATTTCAACCACATAAACGGCGTCGCTATGGGGACCAAGATGGGACCCAGCTATGCCTGCCTCTTCATGGCGCACCTCAAGAACCAGATACGTCATGCATATATCGGTAGGCTCCCCGAGCTCTACAGGAGGTATATCGATAATAGCATCCGTGTCACTGATATGCCCCTACAGGAACTGCAGAACTTCATTAATTTTTTCTCTAACTTTCCTCCTAGCATCCGATGCACTTCTAGCATCTCTCCTTCGTCAGTGCATTTTCTGGATCTCACTGTCACCATGAACTCTATAGGCCTTAGCACCTCGGTGTACTACAAGCCTACTGATTCCCACGCTTTTCTTCTCTACAAGTCTTCCCATCCCTCTTCTTGCAAGGACTCTATTCCGTTCTCCCAACTTCTACGCCTCCGCAGACTTTTCCAGGAGAACGACGACTTTCACAGGTAGGCCCTGGAAATGCTGGACTTTTTCCGGCTTCGAGGGTATCCTGAACATGTTCTGTCTGCTGCCTTTCACCGCGCATGGTCTTTCCATTGTGCCGAAGCTCTCGCTTCCAAGCCGAAACGTCACAACAACAGACCTATCCTCACACTTACCTACCACCCTCACAACATCCTTGAAGCCGACCCTGCCACCAGCACGATTTTCTCTGAATTTCCTCTAGTGGCTTACAGGCATGATCATAGCCTCAAGGACATTCTAGTCAAGAGTAGGTTACGCCCAGCGTCTGAGCCTAACTTCGGCATGGTCTCTTGCCATAGACCTGTATGCAGAACCTGTACATATGTGGTCCAGGTGGCTAGTCTAGAATTCCCTAATGCAACTTTCCACATACCTGAAGCATTCTATTGTACCAGCCACAGTGTCATTTATGCCATCAACTGCAAGAGATGTGGCATGAAATACATTGGTGAAACAGGTCTACGGCTGGCCGACAGGTTCAGACAACATCTTTTGGATGTGCAAAATGTGCTCTGAAACCAGTACCGTTGCACTTCAATTTCCAGGATCACCAAGGTGTCCTCGACATGGAGGTGACAGCCATTAAATCCAGCCATTCCAGCGACAGAGTCCGCAAGTCTCTTGAGAATCGCTTTTTTTATACTCTGGGGTCATAAACACCCTCCAAAATGAATTGCCAATACAGTTTCATTTAAACTCCCAGGGGATTGAACTGCCCAGTTTTATCACCAACCCCCAGTTATGGCCCCTGGTACTCCACAGGGGGTATTTACTCCCCCAGCCAACACGTGTAGTCATTCTCCTGAGAAACAACCGACCCGGCTGGTTCGAGATACCAGCTAAGTGATTTTGTGTATCTGTGTAGTATTGTTTCATTTGTATGTGCTGATGAAGGCTCAATAGCCGCAATGTTCATGTTTTGTTTGTATTTGTTATCTCGTGAAGCTTGCTAATATACTTTTCGTTTGGTTTTATATATTTTCTTGATTTTTTTTAAGATCTGCACAGAGTGGCAAACAGTAATTATGTTACAAGGGTTTGTAACCACTGGATATGGTAACAAGGCTACAAGCAGCAGCAGCGCCAGCATCAAGTGGGCTATTGGTGATGTCAATGACTGTAATGAGGCTATAAAAAGGTATAACGTAAGGGGTTGACTGATTAACAGAATTGGGGAAGTCCCTAGAATGAAACACCTGAGATTAATGTGGAAACGGTAAAACATGAGACTGCTGAACGTGAAGATGGGGGGATCGCTGACAGGCATTCTGTGACAGGACTCAGAGAGTTCAGAGAGAAAGTCGACTCTGAGTGAAATGAAGTGAATGTTGATCCTGAATGGCTATTAAGTGGTTGTAGTAAAGACAAGCTGAAATGTATCTGAGGACAACCGAAGTGTCCTAATGAATGCTGATTGTGCTGACTGGTGCAGGTCCGTGTCAACCGTGGCATGGCTGTATGCCAAAAGCTGTGAGCAAGTGAACCTTGCCTAGATGGCATAAGTGAGGTTGTTATGTAGATATTTGTCACTGATATGATATTAAATCATGTTGAATAAAGCTGAAACTGACAACCACCATTCTTGACTGTCATTTGGAGACGTGTGGCAGTTTGTTCAAAGAGAAGTCTGCCTCGTCTACTTGTGGATGTGAATCCCAGGACAATAGCCTGGGTCAAGTGGGTACTAGCAAAAAAAAGTGAGAGAGAGACACAGTACAAAAGGAATAGAGACACTTCTTTACAATGATTATAAACAGAATGAAAATAACACAATTTTTGTTTCCCCAGCAACAATTAGGTTGATACTGTTTATTATGATAATAAAAAACTGACAATGAAGTTGTAAAAAGTCACCCCAGTAGAATTAATGTTCTTAACATATTAATGTTCTTCACATAAGTACTCTACAATTCAAATATTCAAGTAATACAAGTACTCTACATGTCTCACACTCCAGTAACACAAATAAATTACCAGTCACTCACTCCAGTCACATAAGTCAACTACCAGTCACTCACTCTAGTCACACAAGTACACTACCAGTCTCACACTCCAGTAACACAAGTACACTACCAGTCTCACACTCAAGTCACACAAGTACACCACCAGGCTCACACTCCAGTCACACAAGAACACTACCAGTCTCATACTCCAGTCACAAAAGTACATTACCAGTCTCACACTTCAGTCAACAAGTACACTACCAGTCTCACACTCCAGTCACACAAGTACACACCAGTCTCACACTCCAGTCACACAAGTACAGTTCCAGTCTCACACTCCAGTCACACAAGCCAACTACCAGTCACTCACTCCAGTCACACAAGTACACTACCAGTCTCACACTCCAGTCACACAAGTACACTACCAGTCTCACACTCCAGTCACACAAGTACACTACCAGTCTCACACTCCAGTCACACAAGTACACTACCAGTCTCACACTCCAGACACACAAGTACACTACCAGTCTCACACTCCAGACACACAAGTACACTACCAGTCTCACACTCCAGACACACAAGTACACTACCAGTCTCACACTCCAGACACACAAGTACACTACCAGTCTCACACTCCAGTCACACAAGTACACTACCAGTCTCACACTCCAGTCACACAAGTACACTACCAGTCTCATACTCCAGTCACACAAGTACACTACCAGTCTCACACTCCAGTCACACAAGTACACTACCAGTCTCACACTCCAGTCACACGACTACACTAGCAGTTGCACACTCCAGACACACAAGTACACTACCAGTCTCACACTCCAGTCACACAAGTACACTACCAGTCTCACACTCCAGTCACACAAGTACACTACCAGTCTCACACTCCAGTCACACAAGTACACTACCAGTCTCACACTCCAGTCACACAAGTACACTACCAGTCTCACACTCCAGTCACACAAGTACACTACCAGTCTCACACTCCAGTCACACAAGTACACTACCAGTCTCACACTCCAGTCACACGACTACACTAGCAGTTGCACACTCCAGACACACAAGTACACTACCAGTCTCACACTCCAGACACACAAGTACACTACCAGTCTCACACTCTAGACACACAAGTACACTACCAGTCTCACACTCCAGACACACAAGTACACTACTAGTCTCACACTCCAGTCACACAAGTACTCTACCAGTCTCACACTCCAGTCACACAAGTACACTACCAGTCTCACACTCCAGTCACACAAGTACACTACCAGTCTCACACTCCAGACACACAAGTACACTACCAGTCTCACACTCCAGTCACACAAGTACACTACCAGTCTCACACTCCAGTCACACAAGTACACTACCAGTCTCACACTCCAGTCACACAAGTACACTACCAGTCTCACACTCCAGTCACACAAGTACACTACCAGTCTCACACTCCAGTCACACAAGTACACTACCAGTCTCACACACCAGACACACAAGTACACTAGCAGTTGCACACTCCAGACACACAAGTACACTACCAGTCTCACACTCCAGTCACACAAGTACACTACCAGTCTCACACTCCAGACACACAAGTACACTACCAGTCTCACACTCCAGACACACAAGTACACTACCAGTCTCACACTCCAGACACTCAAGTACACTACCAGTCTCACATTCCAGACACACAAGTACACTACCAGTCTCACACTCCAGACACACAAGTACACTACCAGTTTCACACTTCAGTCACACAAGTACACTACCAGTCTCACACTCCAGTCACACAAGTAGTACACTACCAGTCTCACACTCCAGTCACACAAATACACTACCAGTCTCACACTCCAGTCATACAAGTACACTACCAGTCTCACACTCCAGACACACAATTCAACTACCAGTCTCACACTTCAGTCACACAAGAACACCACCAGTCTCACACTCCAGTCACACAAGTACACTACCAGTCTCACAATGCAGTCACACAAGTACACTACCAGTCTCACACTCCAGTCACACAAGAACACTACCAGTCTCACACTCCAGTCACACAAGTACACTACCAGTCTCACACTCCAGTCACACAAGTACACTACCAGTCTCACACACCAGACACACAAGTACACTACCAGTCTCACACTCCAGACACACAAGTACACTACCAGTTTCCCACTTCAGTCACACAAGAACACCACCAGTCTCACACTCCAGTCACACAAGAACACTACCAGTCTCACACTCCAGTCACACAAGTACACTACCAGTCTCACACTCCAGTCACACAAGTAGTACACTACCAGTCTCACACTCCAGTCACACAAGTAGTACACTACCAGTCTCACACTCCAGTCACACAAGTACACTACCAGTCTCACACTCCAGACACACAATTCAACTACCAGTCTCACACTTCAGTCACACAAGAACACCACCAGTCTCACACTCCAGTCACACAAGTACACTACCAGTCTCACAATGCAGTAACTTACCCCATTAGGTTTGGACATCACATAAGGATTCCACAGACAGACATGGTTGTTGGCCCCAGCTGTGGCTATAATCAGAGCAATGAATTCTCTATGCAGTTTCTTTCAAATCATGTGTGTGCATTATAAGGTCCCTTTTCCTGTCTCTCCCCCCCCCCCCCCACACACACACACACCTTTAGGCCTGGGAATATAGGGATAGGCTTATATTTTTAAAAAAAGCAATCAGCACTTGGTGGTGGATGTGGGCCCAGGACTGTACCTGGTACAGATTTAAGGCTGGGTCGAGCTGGGAGTCAAGGTCATTTTTGAAAGAAGTCCAGCTCTGTTAGGTCGCGAACCCACGACCTTCTAGCCGCCAAGGCCATGGCGGATTCCATGTGTGTACATTAATGAGTAAAATTAATCTTATCTAACTGAATGACCAAACTAGGCTTATATTCAATCACTCAGTTTTATCTGTGGGTTTGCTTGCATTCAGTGAGAGATAAACAGCAGCAAATGTTGACTAAAGACAACTATCACTGTAAAGATGCATGTGTCTGACAGATTCCAAGTTGTGACACACAGGTATGTGGAATAAACAACATTCAATGATGAAAGTATTGACATACTTCAGCAAGATTTACTCACTGTCTGTAAGCATAAATGAAGATTATTACAAACTGGAAAATGGGGAATTAATATTTTCACTTGTGTGGTCCAATGAAGCATCAGATGTAACAGCTGTAGTGAATGGACTAGTATAATTGCCTAGAAGTTCAGTGAACATGTGTTCAAATCCCTCTAGAGACAGAGATTTGTTTCCAGTGACCTGAACTCACAGGCCCACTAGCTTCAAATGGATACCAGAAAATATTCCTGGAAAGGAAAGGCAGCATCATCTGACCACATCATCTGTTGAGTGCTGGTTGGTTCTAAAGAAAATACAGCTAGCATCATATACCCAATTACACTGTGTAATTAGATTCATTGTGTTGAAAAATAAATCTTTACTCACCTTTGCTTTGTAAATTCTGGAGAATATTTGTAGCTACTACCTGTCGTGCCACCAGCCACTTTGTTGTCTTTTCATGTACTCAGTCATTGTATATATTTTGTAATGTCTATATCCTTTCTGAATCTTATTTCCTACCTCTGATGTAGAGTATAATGCATTTAGGAACAACTCACAAACTCTGGCCCATCTCCGCCCATCTACACACAAGCTGACAATTCACTGATGCTTGATCGGGCTGGTTAACCTTGGTCAAAGTTAGAGGGGTGTGCCGGTGTACTTCTGTATTCACACAGCTTTCTGCGTTACGTGTTACTGCTTATTCTGGGAGTAGCTACTGCCAAAATTGCGTACTCACTCGTAAGCAGTATTAGTGTTTGTTGGTGGGTATATGACAGCCATCTAGGATTTTGCGTGGGAAATGTTTTTTGCAGAGGGTAGTGTTGCATGTCTGCAGCGACTCAGCGTTGTGCCAGCCACTGCAAAATGTTGAGAGGTCTCAAATGCACTGTCTCGTTGGACCTAGGTTCAGTGTTTTGGGAAGGGGAGTTTGGGGTTAGGGCCAGTTGTACATGTTATGGGGTCGTAACGAGGCTCATATCTTCTAATATAGAGCATGCATAGTCACGAGTCGGAGCCTCAACTGAGCTGACACCCCTGCCACTTACACTTGCACATCTCAAAGGTTAAGGCATTTACTGAACATCCAATCACAGTGTCCTGGCTGGACTCCGCGAGTCAGTGTGTAGATGGGCGGGGATGGGCCTGAGTTCGTGAGTTGTACCTGTATTTATTTTCACCTCACTGTGCATAGTTTGTTCTCCTCCTGGTTTTCAACGCATGTTCTCTTGAGAGAGGTGTCCCATGAAAACTAAGTTAAACTGATGTCGATGTTAAAATTACGTTGACGGTCAATGTCTACATTTTTAGACTATCAATGAACATTCTCAGCTTTGAATATCTTCATCTTGCTGAAATAGTGAATGATATACAATGAACTTACCTATCAAATTCAGGTTTCCATTTAAATCAAAATCATTGACACCTTGGGGCACATTAAACTCAAACCTATGGGAAAAAAACACCTTAAAGTGAAAAAAACAACTGGCACACAAATAAATAAACTTTTTTATCTACACAAAGTAAACACTATATTACCAAAAAAAACAATTGATTTCATGCACAACTAGAATTTAATGGCAATTACAAATTTTAGATCAGATGCTTAACTGAAGTAGAGCATGTTACCAGAAGTACATCTGCAACAAGTATGAGAGATCACAGATTTCAACGGACCCCGCCATCTATTTCAAGCTGGAGAGCCTTCAGTTAGTAATATACTATTTCCTCAGTGTCTGCCTTTCCACTGGGTGTATTGTTCAAATAGCTGCACATGGAATTACAGAGAGAACATAATCGCTCCAATTAAAAATAAATAACTTAATAGAAAACACAAAAATGGAGATGGTCTTGAACTAGTCAAGAAATTAAGAAAATATTTTTTAGAATGGATTAATTCACCTCTGGACAAACAGGGCAGTCAATGTCATTTAAGTGAAGGTAAAAGGTCCCTTTTCTTGCAATAAGATGTGCGGGGTACACAGCCTGTGTCCCATATTTTTGGTTCATCAGCACTTAATACAGTCGGTATTAAACTGGCTGCCTTTGCTTCCAATATGGCACAGGCTATATACAAATATTTATTTCTAGAACTGGAACTTCACTTCTTATTTTTAGATTGCAGATCTGCTCCCTGATATTTGTTGTCATCACAGTGACAGAATGAACCACATTTCAGCTGTCAAAGACATAACACATAACAGATATCCCATTCAAACTTAAAGAAGATTATAATTATAGACCTTACAGTTTGAAAAGAATAATAATTTGATCTGATTTAATTCGATTCAAGAACCAACATCACAGCACTCGGGGCATTCCCATAAGTGCTCCGTCCCCATCTTCAGCAGCCAGCAGAGAGTTCCGATACTAATGGTGCCAGTAGCATTCTGATTAAACGTCCATCTTGCCTTTACTCTGAGCCTCGAGCATCTGCCAGAACCTCTCGTCACTCTCCGCTGCATCAATCTCATCACACTGTGGTGATCCATCTGCTCTTCCGAACTGTACACGCTCTCCTACAAGGCACTAACCACGTCTGCCTTATCATGCATCAGTATTCCACCAAGCTGTGCAGAGCCAGCCAGTCTGTCTGCCTGTTCATTTCCCAACACACCAGCATGCCCTGGTGAAAAAATCCAGACAATACTTCTCACCTGTGTCTTCCGCAGCATGATTTCTGAGTAAGTTACAATCACAATGTGTGTGTGTGTCGTGTTCTCTAGCCAGCAGAAAGCCGCAGTGACCACCTCCACCTTTATTCTTAAGCTGGATATTGTGGTATCATATGATAGGCTCTCCTACACCAAATTTCGACCATTAACTTTTGCTAAGAAGCCCTATGCACTTCTTTTGCCTCTTGACACTGAACCATCTGTGTAAATGATCAAATCTTCTGAGCGAGCATTATCTTGAATTAATTGCTGACTTTCCACCTCTGTGGTATCTGCTGACCAGTCTCTGCATTCCCGGCTCAGTGTGATTATGACCCTACACAAGTCTGACTGTTCAGGTGGCACTTTGACCCACTTCTCTCCTCGCCTAATGTTCTCAAGGATGCAAACCTGTCTGAATGTGTCCTCTGCCTGAGCCATCCATGATTTCCCTCTTTTCAGCCGCTGACCCTTAACTGCACCCAGGGCTTCGTGTAAAGGGTGGTCTGTCTGCAGCTACCCTAAGATATGACTTCACCTGCAGCACCTTGTGCCTACCTGCAACAGTCGGCAAACCAAGGATGTATCTCATACACACCACTGGGGTATCTCTGGTGCAACCCAGAATGACCCACATAGCTGCGTTCTGTATGGGCTCAAGTTTGACCATCTGGCTCTTTGAGACGGTAAGCATTCCCAGGCCATAATCAACACTGACAGGATCAGGTGCTCATATAGTATGAAAAGCATTCTCTGCTCTGTGTCAATTGCAGCCATAGTCTTAAGTGCACCAAGTCCTTTTTGGCATCTTGTCACAACACTTTCCACATGGTCCTTAAACGACAGACTCCTGTCAAATGTAATTCCCAGATACTTCAGTTTGCTCTCTCTGTTGATGCTCCTACCATCTATCGTGAGACTTGGGACATTAGCTTTAACGATCCTGTTGTCCAGATACCTCGACAAAACAGACCCCTTTTCCGGGTGGACGACAGCCCTAATTTCTGTACACCACTCAGTCACTTTTTCCACTATGGCTTGTAGCTCTCGGGCTGTTTGTTCCCTCTCTTCCCCCTGCCTATATGCAAGTATATCATCCCCAAAAGTCAGCATCCTTCCAACTCCTGGTGCTTCTAGGCTTGCAGTCTTGCTTGTATACATGTTAAAGAGCACAGGAGAGATAGCGGATCCCCGTGGCAGTCCTGGGCTAAACTGTATGGTTCTGAGGTCCATGAGCCCAGTCAAAGAGCAACCCGACGTGAATACAGGACAGCTGCAATCCAATTCACCATCAATGGATTGACTTCCTTCTCCTTCAATGCAGTCATCAAGATGTCGTATCTTACTCTGTTATAATCATCCTCAAGATCCAGTCCTACTGCCATAGTTTCCTGTCTGTTCTGGAACCCTTCATAGACGTCAAAAGACCTCTTGGGAGAAGCTTCCCCCTTTCCAAAAATTCTTGCAGCTTTACAGCAACTATCTTCTCCAAATTTGTTTTGTAAGGTGATGATTCTAAAGCCACTGAGCTTTGAATGATCCTTAAAAGGTTTTGGTAGTGGGATTAGATAGCTGTGCACCCAGTCCTGCAGTATTTTTGCTGTCTTAATGCTCTGGTTAAAACAGTCAGCCATCTCTGTCAGGTCCACATCGCTCAAAGCCTTCATGTGGCTATACCTGACCCCATCAGGCCCTGGTGCAGTGTTCTTTGCCTTTTTCAAAATTTGTTTGATATCTTCTACTCGTAATATGTCTTCATGGTGCATATTTTTTAAGGTGCCAGCTAACTCCTCTCTAACTGCATCCCTGATGTCTATATCATTATGATCTGCCTAAGCTATAAACCTATGGAGAAAAGCCTCCCCTTTCTCCTTGTCTGTTGTCACACGCACACCATTGTCTCTATAGATTGTTCCCACTGACATCGGCCGATGTTTTCTTTGCATCTGCCTTTGCAGTTTCCAGAATTTCCACAGTTTTTTTAAAACTCTCATATCATTCACAAAAGTTTCACACACTTTGCTCTTTTGGCCTGTGCAGCACAGTGCTTGAAAACCTCCACCTTATCATTCTTCACATTCTCCACCATCTTTACTTTCTCTCATGAGCTTGAGGGTGTCTATCGTACTTTCTTTAGCTGCTTCACTGCGGCTCTCTTTGCTTTCCACGCCTGTTCTACTTCTGGAGTCCACCATGAGGGCTGTAGAAAATTAGTTCTGGCAGTTCTGTTGCTTGCTCCCTGTCTGAGGCGTCCAAGTAGGTTGTTGGTCAACTTATACCGGAAGGTCTTGCATGCTCTGACAGCCTTAACCTTACTGGGTTTAGAAATCAGGACTGAACTTGGTAGGTAATCACTCCCATGGTCATTCAGGACAGTCCATTTAATATCTAAAACTGATGACTGGGAGACAAATGTCAAGTCAATGGCTGTGTCTGCATCGCCAGACCTCATTGCCATCCTAGTCGGCCTCTCATCATTGATGCAGACCATATCGGAGTCAGCCATGGCCTCTGCAAGAGCAATTCCCTGTCGGTTTTCTCCACTGCTGTCCCATTCTCTGTTCCTCACACTGAAATCCCCACATATGAGTAACCTATCACCTGGTAACTCCTCCAATTCCTTGAGCCAGCCCCATTGTTCCCCTTTGACAAAACAGTCTACTGTGGCATATATATTTTTGAGGTTCCAACTTAAGCCACCAATCTCCACCTGTATCCCTTGAACCTCTCTTCCGCTGTGGTGCCACTCGCTCAAGTCAAGCAACACATGCTTCACTCCCTCCTTTACCACCAGACCTTGTCTACTGTCCAACAGGGTTTATATAACTGATGTACCCCAGGCAATGATATTTGTCTGTATTTAGCTCCTGGAGCATGATAACATCAAAATAAAAAAATCAACCTCTCCAGTACAGGACCTCTCTGCCTACCACTCCGACAGTTCCAGTATCCTACTTTTACATGACTGAAGCTCAATCTCTCCTCTTTTCGTCTTGTTCTCCTAGCACCTGCCCTCCTATTCCTATGCCTTGTTCCCTCCCCATTGCCTCGTTGTCTCCTCCTCACTTTCTCTTCACGAATTAGTGAAAAATGTGTCAAGCGCAGAGCACATGCCCCATAGCTCCAGCGACGATTCCTATAAATATTTTTAAGATCCATATGCAGAAAAAAAAGGGTACTGCAGGAAATAACCGGTCACCCTAGTATGGCCTGCCTGTTAGGGAAGGGGCAATGGATGTCCCGTAGGAGTCCATACGCCTGGTGCTGCCCCGCATGCACGCCAGACATCCAACGTTCACGACCAGCTCACCTGTGGCCATCCAGTTCCTCAGCATGTTGGCCCACCTTAAACTTAGGGGTTTGTATTCGGAGTTTGCCGTCTCCTAGATGGACTGCTGTCCAAAGCTAACGGGTTCCACTGACAGTATACAAAGCACGAGTAAACCAAGTAAAACATTTACGGTGTTTGGTTTGATCATTGCAAACAACTAAATTGTTTTGCTTCAGTCGAAAAATGACCATGAAGAGAAGTGACAATACACTGCCAAAAACAGCCCGCAGCCATGGAGAAACCGAACTTATTTCATTGGCTACAGACAAACAGTTCATCAAGCAGTTCCTTATAGCTGCTTCAGATTCCTGCGAAGTGGGTAACTCATCTTCCGTGCAGCGAGGTATGCAGCTGCTCACTCTTTCATTAAGTGAGGTTACAAGATGTTTGATCGTATCTATTTCGGATGTTTCTATTGACTGTGTGAGGTTTGGGGGGCAGCAGAGCAGCAGAGGTAGTTCGTGATGCCTCTACCAGCCTTCTGTCACAACGACAGGTGTAAGGAAACTTCGTGAAGACATGATCCCTGAAGTACCATCCTCACAGCCAAACAAAGTGAGGACAGCTCTGTGCAGGGTCAGTTGGCCGACAAGGTGTTCACACTGTAAACACTTTTTGTTCATGAAGTAGTGGTCAGACATGAACGTTTTCGGCTTGACAAGGGGAACACTCATCAATATAATTATATGAGATATTCTAGTAAAATCATGTCCTAAAAGTTCACGAGCTTTGGTCCACAGAGCAACTTCTGGCTTCAATGTGAATTCTTAAAAGCTGTTCACTTTATCCGTATCTCCAGATAAAGGTGTTTTGTTGTCCGAAATCTTGAAACCTAAGTCAACAATATTTCAAAGTTTGGCATCAGTTTGGTACCACCTCAACAAAGCTTCACACAAGCTGTAGTACCATTGCCTGGAATGACCATACGATGTCACATTTTCCATACATCACTTGGTATATATCCTGTTAGTTATACGTACACTCGGTATTCACCCTGTTTGGTATACGTACAAGGATAGCTACAAACTCCAGCTCGCCTGGTGTTTTTACCACAGCCAGTGTAACCAATGAGACAACAAGTAAAGAAACCTGATATCCTTGAGTGAACAGCGGTGGAAAACATTGCCGTCATGTGTTTGAACTGGAAAGAGGTTTGATTTAAGCGATGAGAACCGATTCAATACACAGTTTTTGCTTTGAAATAATCATGGTTGCTAGCGCTGAAAACAATAAAACCGCCATTAAAACATTGATTCAAAGACACATGTGACAAAAACCAGGGTTCAAATGTGTCCACAATACTGGATTAGCTAATTATCAGTAGTATCAAACATTAGCAAAGTAGACCAAAAAAAAAACTTTAGTAATATTTTAGCAAGAAATTATAAAGCAATGACACAAATTTAACTTACTTTCTTTGAATCTCCCTTTTTGTAGGCTGTTCTATCCTATTGTCAAAAACAAATGGGTATAAGTCAAAGTAATGATCACCTTATAAACAGCATTAAACTTAATACCTCATCAGTGTCAAATCTGGCACAAAACCTTTGGTGCTTTAGATTATGATTTACTGTTCTTCCCTTCTCACAAAACATGATTTTAGTTGTGCTGCATCCATTTACAGACAACCTGTGCTACACCAGTGCAACATTTTAGCACCATGTGATCTAAAATTTTCTCTTTAAAGTGGTTTAACTTATTAGATACCACACAGCTCAACATATATTTTTTTTTTTGGGGGGGGGGGGGGGGGGGGGGTGGGGGGGGGGGGGGGGGGGGGGGGGGGGGGGGGGGGGGGGGTTTATTGACTTTTCTGTAGATACCATGCATTAAACATGTTTTTTGGGGGAGTTTGTTTTACTTTTCTGTGGATACCACGCAACTCAACATTTGTTTGTTTTAGGGTTTTGCTGACTTTTCTGTGGACACCACACCTCAGCATTTGTTTTTTCGGGGTACTCAACATTTATTTTTGGCGGGTTTTATTGACTTTTCTGTGGGTACATTCATGTCTCTCATTCTAACAAATAACAACTAAACACTGACAAGTACAATAGGCACTTCAGGTTTTCTATGTATATGGCCAATAGCACACAAAAAAGCTCCTTTCAAAACATAACTATATATGTAACTGAATAATGAGTATCAGTTCCAAAAGGTGATCTGAAATAGACAAATAAACCTAATATGGACAATCATAATCTTCATTGGCAGATGTAATATAATTTAGGAAAATGTGATATAACAGAACAATTGATCTAATATGTGATCCAACATAGACAAACATGATCTAACATAGAAACATGTGATTTAATACAGACTAATATGATCAAACATGCGGCGTCCATGGCTAAGGTGTTGCGAGTCTGACTCGTAATCCAATGTACCGCGATCGAAACCTGTGTGGGCTGCGTGGATTTTTATCGTGGTATGGGACGTCGCAGGTCGACTCAGCCTCAAATGGGTACCAGGATGGGCTGTCCTGGGAAAGTAAAGACAGCCGGCGTAATGCTGACCACATTACCCACCGAGTGCCGATTGGTCTGTAAAAATATGGGTGCTCTTCCCATATGCCCGATGCGCCTAAGGGCGTGTAAAGGGATCTTTACTTTACTAATATAATCAAACAGATCAATGTGATCTAGCATAGAAACAAGTTATTTAACATAAGCAAACATAATCTAACATGGACATATGTGATTTAACATAGACAAATATGATAAAACAGACCAATGTGATCTAACGTAGACAAAAGTGATCTAACATAGACAAACATGATCTAACATAGACACATGTGATTTAGCACAGACAAACATAATCTAAAAGACCAATGTGATCTAACATGTGATCTAACACAGACAAAAGTGATCTAACATAGACAAAAATGATCTAACATAGACAAACATGATCTAACATAGACAATGTGATTTAACATAGACAAATATGATACAAAACACCAATGTGATCTAATATGTGATCTAACACAGACAAAAGTGATCTAACATGGACACATGTGATCTTATATGTAATCTATACATAGATAAATGTGATCTAAAAGAGACAAGTGTAAGGATCTTTTGTCTGACATTTTAAATACATTTGATAAGCTGGTCGTCATTGCCTTAAGGCTGTTCTTAATGCCAACATTCCATGTTTTGCGTGGTCTTCCCCTGGCTCTGTATCCATTATATTTCTTCAGTATCACTCTGTGGCAGTTGGTGCTAGGGCATTCTCACCAAATGGCCACACCATCTCTTTAATAAACTGTACGACTGGTTTTAGGCCAAGGCTTTCTTTAATTTCTTCATTGTTCATGTTATCTCTCTTCTTGTTACTCCAGCCATCTAAGACAACTCATCTCTGTAGTTATAATTTTGTGTTCATTAGTTTTAGCAGAGGTCCATCTCTGATACTGGTAGCGTCAAGTGGGCCAAAAATCATTCTCATCAGATTTGCCTTGGTGGAAAAAGGTAAGTGTCAACAGTGCCAGTACCTATTTTGCCCTTTCAGCAGCTTCCAGTTGTTTTGTGCTCTTTTCCTCTAAAGCCCAGCTGCTTGAGCACATTGTATTTAGAGGTGGAGATCAGCCCTCTTGTCCCCCGTGTGGGTTCCGGGGCCCCATTGTGGGGAAAACAAGAATAGACCCACTGCCTCCCCAAAAGCATGTCGTAAGAGTCGACTAATTGGGGAGCTTCCTTTGAAGTCGGAGTGCATCTGCCGGAGAGGCAAGGAATCAACAGTCTGTATTCAAAAGAAAGAGATCTGTGAAACTGATGCACACGCAACACTCAAGTTCTGGAGCAGGACTGCAGTTCAGTAATGGACGAGCAACCAGAACTTTCCGCCAGAGTGTACAGCTGGTGAACGCGAAGAAGAAGAAGCCCTCTTGTGCCTACCTCGATGGAAATAATTTTTACTGTGTACACCTCATCTCTCCTCAGACTGTCCACCAGGTCATCATACTTTTGGAGCTTGTACAGGTTATTTTCTTCCATCCGCAACTTGTGCGGCATGGTCAGCTCTATCAGCATGAGATAGCATTTTTCCACAAAGTGAAGGACCATGTCTGATCTCAGACCGGTCTTTCAGATTAATTCTGGATATTTCTCTAAACCGGGCAGGTCGACCGCCATTAATCAGTCACTCGCAGTCAAGTATCGTAGAGCATATGCAACATTATTGACCTTATCTTTAAAAATCTGCCCAGCCTTGAGGAAGTGCAGCATGGAGACATTAGGACTGGCCCTCATCCTCGCTTGGTCCACAATTTCTGTCAGCTCTTTTAGGATTCTGTTGTGGTGCCAAGTATATCGTCCCTGGCTTAGGGCTTTTCTACACGTGGACAATACGTGCTCGAGCATCTGCTAAGCTTTGCACGAGAACATGTCGGGTCGGTGGTCACATACCATTTGACCATGCTGGCACCAGAGGGAACAAATTCGTAAGCAGATCTTATCACAAAGCTCAGGCGCAGCAGGGCCATTCGCCAGAATCCATGCATTCGTGACAAGGTGCTCTCCAGGCCAATCTGCTGGCTTTGCAGCACCAGTTGGGCTGCTTTTTTGACCTGAATATATCGTTTTCAGTGTCCCTTATCTGCTGTATTACCCTGTCTCTGTGGTCTTTGGCCAAGGCTTTGAACCATCAACTGACTTTTCTTGCCCTAGGCTGTGTCAGTCAGTTTGTCTCTCAATTCTATCGCATCTTGGACCTTCCATTTTTTACCTGTCTTTAGAGCAGGCTGGACAGCTGCCACTGTGGAGTCTAAATACTTGTGCAGCATCATCGTGAGTGTTACCTATAACTTTAAACTCCTTGGTTATTGATTTGAAAGAAAGTACTAGCTCAGCCTGCTTACTATATATACTCATGCTTACCTCGTACACGAGCAGCGGCCAGAGGAGCTTAGGAATCAACGGAACTGGAGATACTAGAGATACACAATCAGCCTGCACTGCTCGATAGCAAGCAGGCCTATTGCCAGTGACTCCTGTATAAGACGGACTTCTATCCTATCAGATAACTTCGGATTATAGACGTTTCCAAGATTCTTCCCTGATTCATCCAGACCAGTAGGGAGCTTTCTCCTTGCTACCGTGAAACTTGTTGCCACAACCTGACCTTTGTGGACTGACAGACTTCTGTACTTTTGAGGCTTGAATTGCATGCTGCACCATTCAACCATGTGATCCAGCCTTTCCAGAATAACACGGGCATGAACTTCACTGCCCGTTATGATAGTCATATCATCCATAAATGCACACAGTGGTGGCAACCAGTGACCTCAATTTGAAGGCCTTGACCGACACCCACAGTTTCATCATCACAGTTTCTCTACATTGGATTAGAGAAGCGTACGGCAAACTGTGAAAAATACTGCTAGATCATTTAGGTGATCTCTGTGTCGGTACGTGAACCATGCGAAGGGCCTGCCACAGTAGCTTAAGGGGATTAGCACCACATAGGTGTTGTCAAGGTCCAACCATATCACATGTAATTGCTTTCTCTTTGCCTTAGCTGTCTGGATAGACTCCCAGATCATGGTCACATCCTGAAGACACCTGGGTACGCCTGGGATGCTACCTATTTTGCACTGTTGTGTCGATGGATCTGTTCTGCATAAGATACTGTGCGCTATCACATATTTTGCCCTCAATGTTCAGCAGCAAGATAGGCCTGAATTGGGATAGACTGCTAGAGTCTTTCCCCTAAGGAATGTAGATTCTTCTGGCTCTCTGCCACTCGGTTTATGTGTACTTTTGCCTCCATGCTAATCTTAGGAAGTGGTGAAGCATTGACAAATGTGATCTAATGTGGACAAATGTGATCTAATGTAGACAAATGTGATCTCTAAGACAGGCAAATGTGATTTAATATAGACAAACGTTATCCAATAGACAAATAAGATCTAACAGATAAATGTCACTTAACAGACAAAAAACACAGACAAATCTAATCTAACACAGATATACTAGATCCAACATTGACAAAGGAGAAGATACTTGACAGCCATTTGCCATGGAAGGAAGACACAGAAAGACAAGAGAAGATTCTTGAAAAAGACAACAAGAGAAGATATTTGACAGCCTTTTGCTATGAAGGATACTGAAGGAAGACAACTAGAGAAGAATGTTGACAGCCTTTTGATATGAATGATACTTAAGGAAGACAACTAGAGAAGAATGTTGACAGCCTTTTGATATGAAGGATACTTAAGGAAGACAACAAGAGAAGAATGTTGACAGCCTTTTGATATGAAGGATACTTAAGGAAGACAACAAGAGAAGAATGTTGACAGCCTTTTGATATGAATGATACTTAAGGAAGACAACTAGAGAAGAATGTTGACAGCCTTTTGATATGAAGGATACTTAAGGAAGACAACAAGAGAAGAATGTTGACAGCGTTTTGATATGAAGGATACTTAAGGAAGACAACAAGAGAAGAATGTTGACAGCGTTTTGATATGAAGGATACTTAAGGAAGACAACTAGAGAAGAATGTTGACAGCCTTTTGCTTTGGAAGGATGTCAGCACATAAACTTTGAGATGACACTGGAGATCACAAGGTGTGAAGCAAGAGCACACATGATGACAATGATGTGTCTGCTTGTGCGTTACACAAGAATAGCTGCAAATGTAATCACACAATTTCTGTCAGTCTTGCCTTTCCTCGGAGCCTTGAGCATCTTCCAGAACCTCTCGTCACTCCTTTCTGAACAATCTCACCAGACTGTGTTGATCCATCTGCTCCTCTGAACTGTACAGGCTATCCCACAAGGCACTAACCACATCTGCCTTATCATGCATCAGTATTTCACCATGTTGTGCAGAGCCAGCCAGTCTGTCGGCCTGTTCATTTCCCAACACACCGGCATATCCTGGTGAAAAAATCCAATAAATACTCATCACATGTGTCCTCCGCAGTGAAGCTTGCCACTCTGCACAAAGCATGCGTGTCCTGACCTTCCTCAGCATGCTTTCTGAGTCAGTTACAATCATGATGTGTGTGTGTTGTCTTCTATATCCACGGGAAAGCTGCAGGTGACATGTTTAAACTGACAATGATGATTTAGTTACAGTTGGAAAGACGATGAGTACTACCTGTGGGTGAAACCAGTCAGCTTCTCCATCCAGCCAATGACAACAGAGCTGGTGCTTGTTGTGGCACACGATACAAAACATTCCAGATGATGTGAGTACACAACTGTCAAACAAACACAAGTTCTTAGGATTGAACAGTTTATGTTTCTGTAGTGAGGGATGAAGAATTAATGTTTCTGGTGTAAGTAATGGCATTGGTTATCAGTCTCACTCAAACAACAACAGGTCATTGGGAAATTTCTCAATAACAGAATTTGAAGTGAACAGGAAACACAGAAAACAGAAGATGCTGATCAGCTTGATAGAAAGGAGATACTACTGGCAATATGTGAGACAGAGTGGGTCTGGCAATATGTGAGACAGTCTGGCAATATGTGAGACAGAGTAAGTTTGGCAATATGTGAGACAGAGTGGGTCTGGCAATATGTGAGACAGTCTGGCAATATGTGAGACAGAGTAAGTTTGGCAATATGTGAGACAGAGTGGGTCTGGCAATATGTGAGTAGTCTGGCAATATGTGAGACAGAGTAAGTTTGGCAATATGTGAGACAGAGTCTGGCAATATGTGAGACAGTATGGGAGCAAATAAAATGAACAATGTTAAATGGCATGAACTATAAGATAAAGAGGATGCAAAACTGCTTTTATAATAAAGTGTTCTAAAAAACCATTAGCTAGAAAATGTACTGAAAAAAGGGGGGGGGGGGGGGGGGGGGGTTAAGCTGCTCATCGTTTGCATGGTAGTAGATCTTGTTTGAGACAGCTGAAGACCTAAATTTGAAGTTGGCTAATAATAGCTCCGTGCAGTGAGCACATCTAGAAACAACAGCTACTGGGAAATTGATAGCAAATTAGTAGGCCGGTGGATAATGATAAATCTCTGACACGAATATGATTGTGCAACTTAGTAAACCTTAGCCAAGTATGTCTATGCTGTCTCTGAGGCCAAGACAGGACATACTATAAACCAACTTCACAAGGAAACAGTCAGTAGAGGTACCTTGGTGTAGCTGCTGCATTGGAAGACTAAGCATGCCTTGGAATGCCCAATATGCAATTACACTGACTGTGATAACATAATCTGTGTGGCAGAGTTTGATGTTGTTCAGTTTTGTTTTAAAAAATATACTCTTCTTCTTCTTTTACTTACTTGAAATTGATGACCTATATCTGCAATGTTGTCTCTGGTATGAAATTCACTGTCCTTTTTGTTTCACCCAGTCACCCACAAAGCTTGGCTTCCACCAGTATTTATTTTTTTTAAATGTATTTCTTGACAAGTCTTTCTAATAACATTACACTACTTATGTCAGACTCTCATTCTAAAAGAAAATACAAACGAGAAGGTAATTATAAATTAAAACTTCTTATGTTGTGGGAATGTTGAATTGAGAACTGGCGTCACAAGCACTCGGGACACTCCCATAAGTTCTCTGTCCCCATCTTCAGCAGCAAGCGAAGAGTTCCAATTCCGATGGTACCAGTAACTGTCTGAGTGTATATCTGTCTCATCCTTTTCCTGAGTGTTGAGTATCTGCCAGATCCCCTGGTAACACTTCGCAGCCCCATTCTCCTCAGACCGTAATGATCTATCTGCGCCTCCGCGCTGTTCACCCATTCCCAAAGGGCACTCACAATATTTAACTTGTCATACATCAATTCACCACCAAGTAGTGCATAGCCAGCCAGTCTATCTAACTGCTCGTTTCCCAATACACCGGCCTGACCTGGAGAAAATATCCAAAGGATGCTGACTACCCGGGACCTGTGAAGTGATGCTTGCACAGATGATACTGAATTTCTAAGCTGCCTATCATTATGATCGGTTTAGGCTATAAATATCTTCAAAATTGCTTCCTCTTTCTCTTTGTCTGTTGTCATTGGCATATCATTATCAGTGTATATAATGCCTGTTGTGATAGGCCGATCCTTCCTTTGCATCTGTCTGTGCAGTTTCTAAAACCTACCTAGTGATTTATCCCATCCAATTTCACTCATAAACTGTTCCCAATTAGCCTTTTTCTCATCTGCTGCACAATGCTTTTACTTTTCTATGTTTTCTTTTATAACTTTTTCTGGCTTCTCTACGTCCTTTTGTAACTTGTGAGGTGCTTTTCGCACTTTCTGTCATTGTTTAACCGCTCGCTTTGCTCTCCATGCCTGTTTTACTTTTTGGGTCCACCACAAAGGCTGCACAAAAGCAGAGGTGGTAGTTCTGCTGCATACCTTTTGTCTAAGGCGTCCAAGAAGGGTACTGGCCCTCTCAAACCTAAAAGTATTGCACGTTCTCACAGCCTTGACCTTGCTTGCTTTAGAATAGTAAACATGTCATTTAAGGCAACAAATTTGGAGTTTGCTGAAACTGGATATGTAAACCACATCACAACATGCCAACCCTCCCTTTTGAGGGTGAACAGAAGACAATTTGAAAAAAAATCTCAATATAACGGTATGAGGCACAGTCAGAAGCCATGTCAAGAAGTAAGAAACAGCGACAGACTATTTAAAAACCAGTAGATTAAGTGGTTTGACTACAGCACAAGATTATCATCAGACAGAAGCCCACAAAGAGATTCAGTTATTCTTCAAGATAAAAACAGAGCAAGAAACTGCCCCTTCAAACATTTGATTGACAGAATACCTGTGACTACAGATACCAATATGCATACCTTTTCTCACCCATTCTCCTTTATTGTTCTCAACATGTGCACTGTACTGAGCATGTGTGGCATTCTTGTACTTGCCAGACATGATGTCCTTGAGCTGGACATTTAGGCAAGGCTCTGTGGAGACAATGCAAACTGTGACAAAATGACCTCAGTGCTTTCAGAAGTTAGTATGTGTAATAATTGCTTCTGTTTATAGAGAGACAGAGTATTATATTTACCATGCCCTAAGCTCGAATATTACTAAAACCACATGGGATTTAAAATTGTTAAAATTGTTTCCAGTCATTAGCCCAGACAAATCAATCAAGCTTTGGTTAATATTACATAAAATTACCTAATATAGCCAGCTGGTCTACCTGGGCAAGTTCAGACACAGTGGCTGTAGTGTTTGATTGTAAAACTGAAGTCTCATATAATTATTTCCTGACCAGAGATCCTAAGGGGCAGTCAACTGGTCATAAAACAAATTACCCCCCCCCCCCCTCCCCCTTTTTTTGAGATTATCTTCCTTAAACTGCAGACCAGACCCTAGTGTCATAAAGGTTACATCACCAGCCTTTTCAACAGATAAGATTGAGGGGAGTTAACTCGGTCAAGTAGGAAACTCCAGACGTGGTGGCGTACCCTGGACCAGCGTTTCACACCTGTTAGTGAGAATGTTTAATCAGAGTGGTGGTTATCAAGAATTTACTGACAGGCACATTGACAGCTAATTTGATCTGCAAGGTACTTCAGGGCGTGGCTTAGATCTTCTCCGATAGGACAGGTTAAATACTAGAAAGGGAAGAAGTTTACTTGGCAAATTGATCAGGGAACATACACTGCTAGGCATCTCAGATTTACTTCATAGTGCTGCCAGCAAGCAACAAACTCAGATTAACAGTAGAAAGTAATTCTAGCTGTTTCAGTCCTGTTTGGCTTTTAGTGGAATGTTTCCAGGCATGATTGTAAATTATTTTCAATCTTTCATTCAAAAGGTTAGGAGCTAGCTCAGACTACTCTTCCTTTCCTGATGTATCTAACTTTACATTCTGCTTGAAATAGTTCTTTCTGAGTATTCAGTTATCTCAGTTAGAGAGCTGGTTTTTCTACTCCTATTTCTTGTATGTTTGTATCACATTTTTTTCAGCGTGTTTTCATGTTGTATAAAATAAGATATGAACAATGACATTTGCTATAATGAAATGTAATTATATTGTTTTAATTATCAACCCAAATAATGTGCATGGACTGTGGGAAAATCAAGCCCACGTGTGCAGCCATGTGGTTGCAGTTTGATAGTCCACCATGTGCTCACTGTCCCTGGAAAGATAATATTCTGGACAACATGTGCTTATAAAATGGTTTGGGTTTTCAGCAAATAACCTGCTCCATGTGTTCATGCAAAAACAATGTCAGCCATTTTGGAAGTCTGAGTGAAGATGGACAGCAGACTTAGGAAGTCAACTATTATGACAGAATGTGAGAGGAAAGGCAGGATATGTTAGACATCAGTGTGAGACATAAGACTTTCAGACTAGACTAGAGAGAATGTGAAATATGAGGAGGAGATATGTTTTATACATATATATATATTGTATTAGTATATGCATGCTTAGTGTAAGTATAGATACTACACATGTTTGTTTCAATTATTACAGTTTCCGTCGGGGTGAAGACCAGTCAGCTCTGATAGCAGAACCAGAAGGTCAAGTGTACGAACCTACATTGTGTGGGAGATTGGCAAGCTGGGAACAGGGAGGGAAGGAGGTGGAACAAGCTGGAAGAGGTGGAAAAGCTTGACAATGCCTCACAGCTGTCAGAGGTTTTATTTTTCCTTATCACTAAGTTATGCCCACACCTTGTTCGTAAACTTATCATCATCATAACTTCTCTAACCCCAGGTGCTCAGTTTTCTAGCTGAAGCATCTCATCACTATCAAACCATCAGCCAGTCACTGTGTAAACACTGCAAACTGATGAATGTCATTTACATGAGTGTTAGTAAATAAAGGTGTATGTCAAGTTTTATACTACATCGTTTGTTAAATTTCAAGTGTATTTAGTCTTACCTGTTTAACTCAAGTGTTAGACAGAATTACATTTGGTAGGAGCTCTTTAATAATTCTTTACCAGGAGGAGTATGACGGGAGGGGTCACCTGCCCTGTCTAGCCATTCATTACTAAAAGTAATCTAGACATCTAAAACCCCTTTCCTTCTCTTGTGGGTACCAAGTGCAGCTGTTGTTTATTTAAATGACGAGCCAAATATGGCTGTTTTCTTGAAAATCCAGGACTTTGCCTGAGATCAACATAGCTCGGATTATAGTCCAGTTTCTCTGGTGGAGGTGAAGTGTTAAGAGGACAATTCCTACTCATCACAAAAGCATCTATCCACTTCGGGACCCATGACACAAACCAACATAACCACATTAAACATGCACAGTGGTACCTCGGTATACATATTTAATCAGTTCCTGATCCTTGGACATTTACCAAACAGTATGTATACCAAACAAATTTTCCAATAAGAAATCAAGGAAGAATTGTTAATTGGTGTCCATGAACAAAATCATTTTGTTATTGGCATATTATACACTGGTGGTGTTGTATAAAATAATTTGTATACTGCCCAACACTAAAATACATCAATACAAAAGCAATTTGATGAATGACATTTTCTCATTTTATCTTCCTTGGAAAAGTCGAGTGCCTACTAGGATGGTACTGAGAAGGGAGGAGAAAAAGATGCTTATGTTTGGAAGGACAATTCCCTTCCTATAAAACTATAGGAATCCAAAATTCTGGTGTTTTTTTCCTCTGTAGTTTTTCTTCTACTGTCTCCTGTCACTAGTGGACCTGGCTGAGGCTCATCAGGTTTGACTTTTACTAGACACATGCCCAAAGTTTGCTTCTACCTTCTCCTCAGGATGTTTTGGAAATGTGAAATTGTCTGGTCATTCCATACGATGCTTTTATGGCTTGTTTGGACTTTGTTGAGGTGACACTTCTCTGCAAAGTCACTGATTTATCTTGAGAGAGGTAAACAAATATAACATGTGGTGTTGTGACTAATTTTGACTCATACAAGTTTGTATTTCAAACAAAAGTCGTAAATCAAGCAAAAGTGTTTGCATCTAAACAGGATGTATACTAAGTTGAACGTACACAAGTGCAAATGTATACCAAAGTACCATTGTATCAGCAATTGTTTGCATGCACAAATGTATACCAAAGTACCATTGTATCAGCAATTGTTTGCATGCACAAATGTATACCAAAGTACCATTGTATCAGCAATTATTTGCATGCACAAATGTATACTAAAGTACCATTGTATCAGCAATTGTTTGCATGCACAAATGTATACCAAAGTACCATTGTATCAGCAATTGTTTGCATGCACAAATGTATACCAAAGTACCATTGTATCAGCAATTGTTTGCATGCACAAATGTATACCAAAGTACCATTGTATCAGCAATTGTTTGCATGCACAAATGTATACCAAAGTACCATTGTATCAGCAATTGTTTGCATGCACAAATGTATACCAAAGTACCATTGTTTCAGCAATTGTTTGCATGCACAAATGTATACCAAAGTACCATTGTATCAGCAATTGTTTGCGTGCACAAATGTATACCAAAGTACCATTGTATCAGCAATTGTTTGCATGCACAAATGTATACCAAAGTACCATTGTTTCAGCAATTGTTTGCATGCACAAATGTATACCAAAGTACCATTGTATCAGCAATTGTTTGCATGCACAAATGTATACCAAAGTACCATTGTATCAGCAATTGTTTGCATGCACAAATGTATACCAAAGTACCATTGTATCAGCAATTGTTTGCATGCACAAATGTATACCAAAGTACCATTGTATCAGCAATTGTTTGCATGCACAAATGTATACCAAAGTACCATTGTATCAGCAATTGTTTGCATGCACAAATGTATACCAAAGTACCATTGTATCAGCAATTGTTTGCATGCACAAATGTATACCAAAGTACCATTGTATCAGCAATTATTTGCATGCACAAATGTATACCAAAGTACCATTGTATCAGCAATTGTTTGCATGCACAAATGTATACCAAAGTACCATTGTATCAGCAATTGTTTGCATGCACAAATGTATACCAAAGTACCATTGTATCAGCAATTGTTTGCATGCACAAATGTATACCAAAGTACCATTGTATCAGCAATTGTTTGCATGCACAAATGTATACCAAAGTACCATTGTATCAGCAATTGTTTGCATGCACAAATGAATACCAAAGTACCATTGTATCAGCAATTGTTTGCATGCACAAATGTATACCAAAGTACCATTGTATCAGCAATTGTTTGCATGCACAAATGTATACCAAAGTACCATTGTATCAGCAATTGTTTGCATGCACAAATGTATACAAAAGTACCATTGTATCAGCAATTGTTTGCATGCACAAATGTCTTTACTTGCATGCTGGCCCAGCAGTTACTGAGGCCAGATTTATTGTAAACATCTCAGCTCCCAGGTTTGCTCAACTTTAAATGAATACTAACAACTGTTCAGGGGAGCAAAAGTGGCTGGCATGATAGTGGCTGCATCCCAGATTATCTTCACAAATATGATAATATGTGCATGCTTACAAAGATATTTTGTATACAGCTTTTTCATATTGAAAGTACGCCATCATTCTCATCTGCTTATGTTCTAAATATAACTCATGTTTATATAAGACATTGATAAAAATATCTTTTCAATTAACACATTTTAATGCTGAGTGGAAAACTTTTCTCAAGAAAGCATATAGCAGGGTCAATGATCACACAGGCTAAAAGATTGAAATTAAATAAAAATAAGCAGCAGTCATTAAACTATTCAGTACCAAGCATCTGACCATGTATTGTTGGATGATTCTAAATACTGCACAACTTTTTTCTTCTTTTCTCTCTTTCTTTATATTAATTCATTCTATCCTAACTGTCACTAAAACTTTTTCTGCCATATTAATTTTCAATAACTCTACACTCGAGGATTGTAACTATCAATTGAGTAATCTTTTGGAAACAAAGTGTTATAGTAACTACCACTTGGGACTGGCAGACAAATCCTTCCAAATATGTCTTGTAAA